CATGGAGGAGGGCACTTGTGGGGATGAGCACTGAGTGTTATGTGGAAACTAATTTGACAATAAACTATTTGTAAAAAAAAAAAAAAACAAAAAACAAAACAGTGATCATGGCCTGAGCTGAAGTTGGACACTTAACCAGCTTAGTCACCCAAGTGCCCCTGTGGTTTTGCATATACCCTATCATGTCATCTGCAAATGGTGATGATTTTATTTCTTCTTTTCCAGTTTGGAAGCCATTTATTTCCTTTTCTTTTTTCCCCAAATTTGGCATCGCTAGGGCTTCCAATACAGTGTTGAATAAAAGTGGTTAGAGCGGGCATCTTTCCCTTGTTCCTGATCTTCCAGGAAAGATTTTGGCTTTTCACTGTTGAGCATGATTTTAAGTAAGGTTTGTTATATATGACCTTTTTATTATTTTGGGGTATGATCCCTTTATACCCTCTTTATTGAGAATTGTTATCATAAACGGTTGTTGAATTTTATCAAATGCTTCTACATCTACTAAGATGATCATATGATTTTTATCCATTTTTTCTTCCTTCCTTCCTTCCTTCCTTCCTTCCTTCCTTCCTTTCCTCCTTCCTTCCTTCCTTCTTTCCTTCCTTCCACCCCCCTCTTCTTTCTTTCTTTCTCCCTCCGTCTCTATACATCTTTCTTTTCTTTTCTTTTTTTCTTTCTTTCCCTTGTCTGGTTTTGACATCAGGGTAGTACTCACCTCATAACGTGAGTTTGGACGTGTTCATTCCTTTATTTTTTTAGAAGAGTTTCAGAAGTATAGGTATTAAATCTTCTTTGAATGTTTGGTAGAATTCACAAAGTCTTGGACTTTGTTTTTTTGGGAGTTTTTTGATTACCAATGAATCTCCTCCCTAGTAATTGATATATTCATATTTTCTGGTTTTTCTTGATTCAGTATTGAAAGATTATATGTTTGTAGAAATTTATGCATTTCTTCTAGTTTGCCTAATTTGTCTGCATATTATTAATTGCTCACAATAGTCCTATTCTTGGTATTTGTGGTACCATTTGTAAGTTTTTTTTCATTTCTGATTTTATTTATTTGAACCTTCTTTTTTTTCTCATGGTAAGTCTAGCTAAAGGTTTGTCAATTTTATCTTTTTAAAGAAACCAGCTCTTACTTTCATTGATCTTTTACATTGTCTTTTTAGTATTTATTTTACTTATTTCTGCTCTGGTCTTTGTTATTTCCTTCTTTCTACTAACTTTGGGCTTCATTTCTTCTTCTTTTAATTCCTTTAGGTGCAAAATTAAATAGTTTATTTGAGATTTTTCTTGTTTTTTAATTATTATTATTTTGAGATAGGCCTGTACTGCTATGACTTGTCTCTTAGAATTACTTGCTGCATCCCATGATTTTGGTATGTCACATATCCATTTCCATTTGTCTCTTGGTATTTTAAAAATTTGTCCTTTGATTTCTTTGTTGACCCTGTTGTTGTTTAGTAGTATGCTGTTTAATCTCCCATATTTGAGACTTTTCTACGTTTCTTCTTGTAATTAATTTCTAGTTTTATACCATTCAGTGGTAAATTTAATGCTGGCTTTAGCAAGGGAGTGGGAGAATGTTATGATCACTTGCACTTACTGGTCCCAGCCAGGGAGTGGAGCAGTGCTGCAACCACCCATGCTTACAGCCTTTAGCAAGGGACTGGGAGAATGTTGTGACTGCTCACACTCACGGGCCCCAGCCAGTGAAGGCGAAGGTGCCACCGCCATTCACCCCCACCAGCCCTAGCAAGGCAGCAGGATAACACTGGGTCTGCACATAATCTCCTGTGCTAGCTGGGTCGGGGAGAGTACGAAAATGGCATCTGCCAGTGTCTTCATCTCTGAAGAGAGTCCCAGCTGTCCCCTGCCCCTTCAGCAAATGCTTTAAGATTAGCAAATGAATCTCCTTCACATATAGTATAGGTGCTTTTCAAACTGCTGCTTTTGTGCTAGGTCCTGACATAAGTGAGACTGCTGGTGAGCCTTTCAATAAGAGAATCTCAGTTTCCTACAGCCCTTTGTGTCCCTTGGATATAAACTCTGTTGGTTTTCCTACCCATGTGGATGTGGTCCTTTTATCCTTTGTTATAGAGAAACAGCTCTGCTACTTTTCATTTCTTTTTTAGAGGGAATTGTTCCATACATAGCTGTAGGTTTGGTGCATTTGTTGCAAGAGAGGAGTTCTGAATCTTCCTATGCCACTATCTTGGACCACCTGCTACCTGTTTGCCCCCCTGTCCTACCTATATTGACAGACTATTACATTGTCCAAGCTATACCTGGAGTTTTTTTATACTTTCAACTTGCTCACGTCCATATTTAATTGATTATCACTTGCATAAAATTTCTTTTGTTGCTCTTTCTCTGTTTCTTGTCACAGCTTCTAGGTATTGACTCTAACATGGAGAACTACAGTTATCTTCTAATTATTTTCCTTGCTACCTACCCTCTAATCTGTCATATACAATTAAAGAAATTTCACTCTGATTACCTTATTCCATTTTTGTAATCTTTTAATGGCCCTATATTGCTTATAGGAGAAAGTATGAATTCTTTAACATAACATGGTATACATTACGTACCTGGTCTGGCACTTGCCCACTTTCCATCTTCATCACAGGAGAGTAAAGCCATGTACTCTAGCAAAGCCCAAATTCATTAATTCCCTGATTGTTTCCTATTATATCTTATGTTTTTATGCTGTTCTCTTAGGCTGGCATACTCTTCCTCCCTAATCTTCTGATAAACTCCAACTCATCTTTCAAGATCTTCTTTAAATATGTGCTTAGACATCATCTCAGATCCATTAAGCAGAAATTATCTATTTTTTTGATCATTCTTGTGCTCAGGTATCTATATTGTGATCTTTTCTTTACATGTCTGTCATGAGCAATACAAATATGTGACCTATTTGGGAGTATATACTCTATTTTTGTATTTATAGCACCATGCTATTTTGACATGTAATATACAGTGTCAATTATTTGAACTATTTGCACTTAATTATCTGATTTTTTTCTTGTTTATTTAGTTTTTTGTATATGTTTACATTGTTTCTGTTTTGTTTGTGTTGAAATGCCTAGAATAGTGCTGGTAAGTATTCAATAAATATCTATTGAATGGATGAATTAATTCAACAAAATATAGTTGTGGAAATTTATCAAGACACTCCAATGTTTCACATTTATATGTAGAGAGAAATAATGTATATGTATATTATATATATGTACATAATATATATATCATATGGCTATATATCATATATAGGATTATGTATTTGTATTATGATTTAATTTAATTGTAGAATTGCTTTTTGTTAGAGTGAATTATAGAGTCATCCATCACCTCTGGTAGAAAAATGGTCTTAGTAAACTTAGCAAGAATGAGCCCAAGAGCATGGTGAAAGGAAAGATAAGGAAAATGTTGAATTTCTATGTAGAGGTAGAATTTGAAATGGAAAGAATGGAAGCACTTTTAAAAGTCTGGAGCCAGTTTAAACTAGACTGTTCACTTTGACTTGGTTATAAAATTTGTTATGATCATTGATATTCTTGTTTATTCTATCACTCGTGTGGTGCTTTGTATGTTGGATGGCTGCTCTGTTTATACGGTGAATGTTGTCTTGCCTGCTGTTGAACAGCTAGTGCAACAGGCCTGTAATGCACACATTGTCATGTTCCAAGACTGCGCCTGTGTGCACGGTTGCTGTTGGGGGAATTCTTGATAGAGTTTCTGCTCTGGAGGCTGTGCAACAAATCACTGGATAATTGTCAGCACCATGGCAATCCCTGTGCTGGAAGACTTCCACGGTCATGTTGTTTGGCTACCACCTCAGATCTTGTAGCTGTGGACAGTGTCTATGAGAATATCAATTCACAATACCTGAAGGGAATGTACAGTTTCCACCATTTCTTATGAAATGTTCCAGTTTGAGTTTATTTAGAAATAATGAAACAACATTGAATTATATCAGTCATAAGGGCACAACAGAGATTGCAGCATTTAAGTACCAGAATTGTTTCCACCATTCAAAGTGTCCTTTTCCTTTTAAAAGCTGTGTTGTTTGCATGTGGTTTTGAATAAGTAATAATGATCTAAAAAAACTATGAAGATACCAAAAACAGTGTTTTTCTCAGTGTAATGCCTTTAAGATTTTACTTAATTTTAATATTTTTCTATGAGTATTTGTAATTTAAATTTTAGTCTTAAATTGATAATATTCATTTGCTATTTGCCAAAAATACTGAAATTCCTGGGCACTTGAATACCTGATGGTTGCAATAAGAAAGTGTTCAAAATTGTTTCTGAATAAATATTTGTTGAATCAATAATTCTGGAAAATCTGAGGTTTAAGGTTAGAACAGCAATACCCCCATGCATAGGCCAGTGGTCTTTAACCTTTTGAAGGTTATAGAATCCTTTGAAAATTTGATAAAGTGTAGATTTTCTCTCATTATATTAAAACACAAAGCAGAAACAATAAGAAAATTCTTAAGTCCATACATAGACCCTATGGCACAGGTGACATTGAACAGAAAAGTTTTATTATGTAAGTTTGTTAGCTCCCAGAAACCAAGCGAACTATGTTCTTTTATTCAAGATTGCTTTAAAAAAATTAATAACATTTACTATGTACTGGATCCAATTTCTTGCCTGGTGTGTGATATCATAAGAGTATATAGCCCAGAGAGATATCCAGATAACTAAAAGAAGTTTTAGGTACTAATAGAGAAATTAGAAAGACCATTTAATCCAAAGGCTGTGTCTGGTGTAGGGGTTGGATAGTGCCAATACATTGAGATCTGGAAAATGAGGAGCAGTTATGTTTTGTCAGGTCAACTGAGAGGCTCAGAGTGTTGAAGGCACAAGAAAAACCGTATCAAATGCCTTAGGTGAGATAGAACATTGAGGGGCCAGGGGTTGGTTGGGAGGACAGTGGCAGTAGAGGAAGCTGAGATAGCAGTCAGATTAAGCATGTTCTTAAAAACCGGGCTAAGGAGTTAATGCTTATACTTAGTATATGGGAATGGATGACTTTAAAGCAAATCAGTGACATTTATAGATTTGCCTTTTAGAAAAATTACTGACTCTGGGCAATGAATTGGGGAAGAGGGAGAGAGGACAACTAATACGCTTTTTCAATAATTCAGTGTGTGATAATGGTGGCTTGAGTCAGGGCTGGATAGATGTAGCAAGATAGGACATTGAGTTTAAATGGACTTGAAGGTAAAGGAGAGGGAGGAGTCAAGAACAATTCCTCAATTTTTGTGGTTTTTGTTTTGGGCAACCCCATGGATGATTGTGAAGTACAGAATTTAAGAGGAAGAGCAGGGAGGAGTAGGGCATAAAGGAAGGGAGATAGAGCCCAATTTTCAACACTGACTTTGAACTACCTGTGAGAAATCTTTGAGATATCTGGAAAGAAGTTGAATATATGGGTCCAAAACTCAGAAGGAAGACTGGCCCATAAGGAAACATTTAGAATTCATCATTGCTTCTTAAATTCTTTTCTACCTTAACACACTTGAGGAAGATGATAAAACCTTTCCACTCATGAAAGTAGCTCCATTTAGCAATGATTCTCCTGTTATCTCCAAGAAAGCTCTTTACGCAGGTGACTAGATGGCTCTCTTCATTCATGTCTGTGCTAATTAACCTGTGTTAATAATCAAAAAGACTGCCCCATACTACCCCAAAAATAACATCTAGTCTGGTCACTCCCTATTCCATGTAAAAGACTTTATTGTTATTCAAACAACTTATTACCACCCAACACATAGATATTTGTTTATTGGATTACTGTTCCTTCCATTACAATGTACCTCCCTGTGACAAAAATTTTGCCTTTTCTATTTATTAATCTGTTCACAAGGTCTAGAACATTTCTGGCATATATTAGGTCCCTAATTACTTAAATATATAAATTAAAATAAGTTATTTTCAACATGACAGAGAATTATAATAGTATATCTGTATCAGGGAATGTGAAACTTGAAAAAAATTTTAAATATTTTGATTTAGCTCCTTGACTAAGGATAACTTTCTGTACTCTGCCCCCATACATAGATTTGAGATTATTATTAGTGACACTAACTGGAGCCACGGGAGTTGATGTATTTTCTGGGGAGAATATATAGAATAAGGAGAAAAGCAGTTAAAGGGTAAGACAGATGATGAAAAATCCAGTAACAGTGAAGCATTAGTCAGAGAGGTAAGAACAAAACCAGATATGCTAAATCAAGGAAATTCAGAGGCAGTTTAAGAAAGAAAGTGGGGTAAGAAGTCTCAAATGCTGCTAGGAATGAATAAAGATCTAGACAGAATTTTCTGTCTTTATAATAGTTCATGGATGACCCTGGCAAGTTTCAGTAGAGTGATGTGTGGAAAGCAAGGAAGTGAGAACATCTAGAGTAGATAAACATGACACACTAAGAGGTTTAGGGAAAGATGGGTTAACATGGAAAATACTTAAGTACATTTAAATGCTTATTAAAAAAAAGAGAAGAAGGTTGATGATATAAGGAAGATGAGGATAATCCATATTAGAAGGCTAAGAATATTGGAAGGGGTGTGTTTATGACACCTGACAGGATAGGCTTAGATAAGAGAGACATATTTCTCTATTGTAGACCCAAAGGATATTGCTAAGTGTTTAGATTTGGTGATAGGAAGTTGAGATAGCAATAACCTAATGTTTTCTCCTTGGTGAAGTAGGGGACAAGGTCATTTGCTGAGAGCATTTAGAAAGCAAGTTTGAATGTTTGAGGAGATTGAGTTTCTATAGAAAATGACAAAAAAAAAAAAAGATATTCCTAGGAAAACAGGCGAATTTTCAGGCCATGTGCGGTTGGTGATCAAAAAGTGAAGTGATACCATCCCTCTAAGTTGTATAATTATCTTTACTAGTTATGGAAAGCAAGGCACGAAGAGCTAACAAAATTTGTTTAAAGTTACACATTCAGCTAGTGGCATATTTAAATTTTGAGCATCAAACCTAAGCTTGTATGGCTACAGATACTTTAAAACATTAGACCATTTTGGTATCAACAGCATTCAGCAATCATTGTAAAAAGGTGGAGTCTATTCTCAGATCAGGTTCAGCATAGACATTGGCCAAATTTAGATTAAAACTACCTTCTGATACTGTAGAGGCTATTGGGATGTGCTCATATGAGGGGGATGATACAAAGAGCCATAGCTATATTCATATAAAGGGACACCAATTGTGTGGCAATTAGAAGCTGCTACATTTTGCAGAGGCTCATGGGAGGAAAGCAAGATTCAATGATACGGTTGACCAAGAAAGTATACTCACAGTCTTTATACTAGACAATTAGAGATAGAAGGATTAACCATGTGCTTCAGGCATATAATAATCATTCTGACCAAGATCAGAGTAGATGACAACAGCAGACAATATAAAGAGGCCTAAAAAGAGAAGAACCAAGTCGAGGGGAAAGACATTTGCTTTAGCTACATGCATGTGGCTAAGGGCTTCACTAATTCTTTAGTGGATGGAGAAGTGAATACAAAAATCATACTTAACGTTAGTTATGGCTTGTATACTTGTAAGTGTGTGTCTATGTATATATGCTTAAGATAACAATTCAAAATACTCAATTTTTATTTCATTAGGATTTAGTTTAAGTTTAAAAACCTTTTCCTGCTTAGTTTTAATAAGGTTTTTGTATAAATACCCTTTAGAAATCTCCTATGTGAGTCTTTAAACAAGATTACATTTTAGTTAATATATGTGGGTAAGTTATCTGCTTATATGTTTAAACATCATTTTTTAAAAGTTAGAAAGTCAATATGTGGAAAAACATTTGATGTAATACTGTGCAAGTGTTAAAAAGCTCAACATGTAAAGATCTCTTATAAACTGATAAGAAATATACCATAATAATAGCTTCTCTGGAGGAGAAGCATAAATGGCAAATAAATATGAAAAGAGAGAACTCTTGCTAGTGATCACTTAGCTGTACTAAGTGTCATATGGAGGTGGAATTCTCCAAGCAAGGAATCCATTCACTACTTAAACATTTTTTTTAATGTTTTATTTTATATTTGAGAGAGAGAGAGAGAGAAAGAGACAGAAACAGAGAGTGAGTAGGGGAGGGGCAGAGAGACAGACAGAATCTGAAGCAGGCTCCAGGCTCCCCCCAGCTGTTAGCACAGAACCCAACACAGGGCTCAAACTCATAAGCAGTGACATCATGGCCTGAGCCAAAGTCAGACACTTAATTGACTAAGCCACCCAGGAAACCTACTGCTTTTTATAAAAAGAGATATGACTATATATCAAACAAAAAGCAGACTTAAAGTGCATACTGAAAAAAATTTTATATGTTGATGTGTCATAAGTATGCTACATTTACCATTGAAGTCAGCATGAGTTGGAATTTGTACATTTTTCTAATATATTCTGTCTTGAGAAATGTTTAGAAATTGGTGCAAGATTTATGTACTGAGATGTACATAGCACCATAGCAGAGGCATATTCCCATGCAGAGGACTGGCAGAGAGGCACCCTGTAATAATAACCGTGCAGATGGACCATTATCATTTTCTCTGACCCAAATTCTTAAGCAGAAAGACCTAGGTAACCTGAATGTTTCAGATCTGAGGAGTCCCCTACAAGGTGGGTTGTGTCCACAAAGAGAATCTATTAAATTTGGAGGGAAATTTAATGGAGGGAGGGAAAAACATTCCAGTTGGATCTGATGGCTGCCCTGTGCTCCTGCTCTCTTAGCAAATGTCATCATTCATCTAAGAGATACACTGCAACCAGATCCTTTTCGCTCATGTTCTAAGGGCACAGTGAAAACATTGCTTGATTCTTAATTATAAGCAAAAGAAACCTACTAACAGATTTAAGCAGAGAGGTATTGAGTAGAATATTGCGTAGAGGTCTGGAGAACTAAGTTTAGAAACATGAAGGGATGATGAGGGCTAGGTAGCTCTCAGAACTCCAACCACATCCTGCATAGAAAGAATCTAATGAAGATACTGAATCCTGGGTATTCCTGCCTTCATTAATGCTGCCGTGCCAAGTGGAGGATATTGTTGCCACAGTGACTCTACCACACAAATGGATTTACCACTGTCTTGCTTCTAAAGCATCACTAGTTTTGGTTCAAAATCTGGTGCTGATGTAGATAATGTACAAAGCTTTAACAGAGGAGGCTTTGGTCATTAGGATCTGATGTGTGGCTTCAAATTGTGGGAAGTTTGTTCTGCCTCCCACTAAAAATTCATATGGAAGGGAATGCTCTGCAAATGTGACCAATTCATTATTTTTTTTTAAGTAACAAGAGCCTGTTGAATAAAAGGTAGATTAAAAATAAGTTGGGAAATGTTATTAAATGTTGAGAGAAATGTTTTGGGAAAAAAACCAAAACAAAAATTCACAGAATGCATGAAAAATACTAAATTCAAGTAGATTAAGAGGATATAGTGTATTTTTAAAAGTATGGGCTCTGGAGTTTCCCAGTTTCAGGTTCAAAACCAATTCTGCAACTTACTAACTTACTAGCTACTGCAGCTAACCACCCAATAACCGGAAAGTTATTTAAAGAGGTTTTTCCTTCAGTTTTTCACTTGTAAAACAGTATAGAAAGCACATCAAAGGAAAGATGACTCAGAAAAATTCATGGACTTAAATACATTCTAAAAAAGAGTAATGAAAATAGATGTCTTTAATTTAAAGAAGTCAAGAGCAGGAAAATAATCCTTGAAAAAGGAATTAATAAAGATAAGTAGAGAAATTAATGAACTAGAAAATGTAAAATGTAAAAATAATTGAATTGTTAAATAAAATGGAACTATTTAGAAAAGAAGAAACCTGAAATAGGTTGGTTTTTTAATACTTTAATTTTTCAAGTTTATTGTAGTAGAATATAGAAAATGCATACATAGAAAAATATAGCCACAGTTAAAAGGTAAATTGATAAAACAAAATTCACACATGTGCTGATAATGATTAATTTATTTAACAGTTTTAAAAACATGAAAAACTTGAAAAACTATAGTAAGAAGTAAGTAAAAGACACAAATATACAATTTTCAAAAGAAAGAAAATGAACAGGATTTGAGCACCCCTAGAGAATAGCTTAGGCAACACTCACCATTACAGAATCTGCCTTAATAAAACATTTTTGTTCTGGCCAAGTGGGTCACACATATAGAAATCTGGATGCCAACCTAGGGAGCTTCCCTGAAAGTATCCATCACTGAAGACTCCATGATGTGGGAATTATGGGTATCTGATGACAAAGCAGCTCATAACAAAGCTCTCTGAACTCCAAGGATATTATCTAGCTCTACAGGGGATGTGTTTTACAAAGCTAGGCAATAAACATTAACAAATACATCCATAATTTAAGAAACTGGGTGAAATAGATGAAATGAAAAGGGCAAAATCAGATTAAATATACATAAGAGAAATACATAAATATGGGGCTTTACGGTCTATATTGCTGTTTTATAGGCTTTGCATCATGGACCAAATTTGAGAGCAGTTATAAACCTGTATCATAAACTAATTCATCGTGTTAAATATCGACTTGGTCTTTGGAGAACAAGACAAATTATAAACTTTGTGGAGCTAGAGGAATGGATGGACAGAAAAAAATGTAAGTGATACAGTAATTTCTGATTTGATTTTAAATTTGGAATTTATTTAACCATTGAGATTTTATATATAATTTGCATATAATTACCCAGGACACAAAAGGAAAACATTTTTTTATATCACTGAAAGCTATTTACATTTTATTTTTTAAAGTTTTCTTTTAAAGTTTTTATTTAAATTCCAGTTAGTTATGCAGGGTAATATTAATTTCAGGTGTACAATATAGTGACTTAATACTTCCATGCAATACCTGGTGGCTATTTGCATCTTAAAGTGATGTATTGTATATTTGGCTTAATTTATTAGGATCTTGTGTTTATAAGAAAAAGAAAACCCATTTTGGTTAACCAAAGTAAAAGAAAATTTGTAAGAAAAGTATAGGAAAAATAGTTAAAGAATCAGATTTCATACAGAATTTCAAACAGAGGTACTCCAGAGATTGAAGGAACAAAAATGCAAGGAAAAAAATCTCTTTGTCTTTGGGAGATAGATAAACTGTTGTCACTTTAAGACTTTTTTGTTTCTATGCTTTAAATTAAGATTACAGGGAGAGAGCATCTGATTAGTTTAATTTGAATCATGAATCCAACACTCTGCCATCGTAGGGTAGAGATTTTTGCTTGGAAGTTTCACAGAAGTCATTACCACTGGGGGAAGGGTAGCTCCCAAAAAAACAACAGAAGAATAGCTAATGGACACCAAGCTGACTAAATAGATATCTATTATGTGTTGCTTGTTAGTGTTGAATTTCTGTTCAGATCAAGTTCCTCAATTTATCTCTCGCTTTCAGAGAGCCTGGTTCCTATTATATTTAATGAATTTACATTGCTTCAGATTAGGATGGACATTACAGCCAGTGTCTTGATTAAAAAAATAATAAATGAAGACTTCTGGTTTCTGGTTCCACATGTAAGGAGCCTGGAAGTCTCCACTCCATTTTAACATGTAAAAAATGAACAGACTAAAAAAATAACTTTTCATGGATCTATAAGAGAAGGGAAGAAACAAGGAAAACTGCTGCCCCAAAGTTAAAGAGACAGACACTCAAATACAGGGAGTTGCAGTTTATTAGAGCAGAGACTGATGAGCAGAAATTGATATGGGAAGAAATGAGTGTTGGCAAAGATGTGGAGAAAAAGAAATCCTCTTGCACTGTTGATGAGAATGCAAACTGGTGCTGCTACTGTGGAACACAGTATAGAAGTTCCTCAAAAAATTAAAAATAGAACTACCATACAATCTAGTGATCATACTACTGGATATCTACTCAAAGAATACAGAAACACTATTTGAAAAGATGTATACACCCATGTATTTATTGTAGCATTATTTACAATAGCAAAATTATGAAAACAACCAAAGTGTACATTGATAAATGAGTGGATAAAGAAGAAATGGTACATATACACAATGAGATATTACTGAGCCGTAAAAAATAATGAAATCTTGCCATTTCAAACACCATGATCAGATCTAAAGTGAATGCCAAGTGAAATAACTCAGTCAGAGAAAGGCAAATACAATATGATTTCATTCATATGTGGAATTTAATAAAGCAAATGAATAAAGTAAAAAAGAAAAAAAAAATCAGGGGCGCCTGGGTGGCTCCGTTGGTTAAGCGTCTGACTTTGGCTCAGGTCATGTCTCACAGTTTGTGAGTTCGAACCCCGCGTCAGGCTCTGTGCTGACAGCTAGCTCAGAGCCTGGAGACTGTTTCAGATTCTGTGTCTCCTTCTCTCTCTGACCCTCCCCTGCTCACACACACACACACTCTCTCTCTCTCTCAGTAATAAATAAAACATTTAAAAAAATAAAGAAAAAGAAAAAAAATTAGACTCTTTAGAGAACAAACTGGTGGTTACCAGAGAGGATGTTGGAAGAGAGGAGGGTGAAATAGGTGAGGAGGATCAGAGTACATTTATCATGATGAGCATTGAGTAATGAATAGAGTTGGTAAATCACTATACTGTACATCTGAAACAAATGTAACACTGTATATTAATTATACTGGAGTTAAAATAAACTTTTAAGAAAGAAAAGAAAAAAGAAATTGATGTGAGAACCAGAACAGCTAGGAAAAATGAACTGTCATACGCAAATAGCTGGAAGCTCAGTGTGAACAATCCCTAGAGTTAAAATACAATTCCAAGAAGGCCACCACAGTGTTGTGATATTTACCTCCAGGAATGTGACCAGATTAACACAGTAAATATCAGAGAGATGGAACCATTTTGAAATTTACCAGATCACACTCTTCTTAATATGGCCTACCTTCAGGGGAAATTAGTTAACTGGAGCCTAACCTGCTGGGTCATTTTCAGAGCTTAACTGACCTAGTGAAGGGCATACCCAAATTTAGTCCATTCTGGCCTTTCTGCCTCACCTATAGGGGGGAAAATAATCCTGAAAAACACCTGTATAGTTCACAGTCCAGAGAGATACAGGGTCAATAAGAGACTCAGACCTTATCATAGGTCTATAGAACATTTCCTCCCACACCTTACCATCACATTACTAAAGGCCTACTTACAGCAGTTTTTTTAACCTAATTTATCATGTCTGGGTTATCAAGAAAAAGTTGCGAAGTATACAAAAAGCCAGAAACCACAATCTGAATAGATAGAGCAAGCATGAGAACCAGACATGGCAGTGATGTCAGAGTTATCATACCAAGGATTTTGAATAACCATGATTAATATGCTCCAGGCTCTAATGGATAAAGTAGACAACATGCAAAGATAGATGGGCAATGTAAGCAGAGAGATGGAAATATTAAGAAACAAAAGAAATGCTAGAGATTGTTAACAGAAATGAGGAATGCCTTTGATGGGCTTATTGGTAGATTGGACATGGCAGAGGAAAGACTCTCTGAGCTAGAGGATATGTCAGTAGAATCCTTGAAAACCAAAAAGCAAAGAGAACAAAGACTGGAAAAAAAAGAACCTGAACAAAATATCCAGGGACTATGGGACAACTACAGGAGTAGCATGGATAATGGGAATATCAGGAAGAGATGAAAGAGAGAAGAGAACAGTAGAAATATTTAAAACAATAATGACTGAAAATTTTCCCAAATTATTCTTAGACACCAAACCACAGATCCAGGAAGCTCAGAGAACACCAAGCAGAATAAATTCCAAAAACTACACAGTTTTTGATATAGGCATATCATCTTCAAACTACAGAAAATCAAATATTAAAAAAAATCCTGAAAGAAGCCAATGAAAAAAACTACCTTTCCTATAGAGGTAGAAAGACAAGAATTACATTCAATCTATTAGAAACCATATCAATAGACATCTCACCAAAGAAAATACACAGATGACAAGTGTTTGGAATGATGCTCCACATCATATGCCATCAGAAAAATTCATATTAAAACAATGAGATACCACTACACACTTATTAGAATGGCTAAAATCTAAATACTGTCAATATAAGATGCTGGTAAGGATGTGGAGCAACAGGAACAATCATTTATTGTTAATGAGAATGCCAATGATACAGCCATTTTGGAAAACAGTTTGGTGGTTTTCTTACAAAACTAAACATACTGTTACTATATAATCCAGCAACCATGCTCTTTGGTATTTACCCAAAGGCATTGAAAACTTATGTCCACACAAATTAAATTTACCCACAGACATCGAAAACTATATCCACATAAAACCTGCACATGTATGTCCATATCTACTTTTTCATAATTGTCAAAGCTTAGTAGCATCCAAGATGTCCTTCAGTAGATGAGTAGATAAACTGTGGTACACCTGGACCAGGGAGTATTTTTAAAGCTAAGAGAAAATAAGCCATGAAAAGACACAGAAGAATCTTAAATGCGTATTACTAAGTGAAAGAAGCCAATCTGGAAAGTCCATGAACTGTATACTTCCAACCATATGACATTCTAGAAAAGGCAAAACTATGGAGACAATAAAAAGATTGACATTTGCCAGGAATGAGATGGGGTTGGGAGGAGGGATGAATTGGCAAAATCTAAAGTATTTTTAAGGCAGTGAAGCTATTCTGTATAATACAGCTATTATGGATACATGTCATTATACACTTGTCTAAACTCATATAATGTGCAACACCAAGAGTGAATTATGTGGTAAACTGTGGACCTTAGTGATTATGATGTATCATCCTTGCTAACAAATGTATCACTCTAATGAGTGATGTTGATAATTAAAAGAGGCTATGTTCATGTGGATGCAGTGGATATGTGAGAAATCTCTGTCCCTTCTTAATTTTGTTGTGAACTTAAAACTGGTCTTTAAAAATTGTCTTAAAAAATAAAATAAAAACAACAAAATGATGCAGATATATTATATTTAATTGAAACCAGCATCTTACTGTTTTATAATGTATAAGTACTACATTTTTAATATAGTTTAATCTAATCATTAAATGTGTATTTCACAGTGGACTATATATATGTCTTCCATGAAGACTGGGACTGTATCTGTTTGATTCATTAATGAAGAGGCACTATTAGCAAATGCCTGTTTTATCAAAAGGGTTCAGAAATATTTGTTGATAGTTTTCATCGAGTTTATAACTTACTGAAAATTGCCAAAAGATATTTACAAATAACTAGAATTCCTTGAGTCAGAAGAACTCCTTTTCTGTGGCTAGAAGTTATGGAAAAGAAGTCAAAGAGAGAGATTATGTACAAGTCACAGAATTAAGTTAGATCAAGTAATGGAGTACAAAATCTTAGTTTCCAGAGAAAAAAGCAGGAGGGACCAAAGTGTTGGAGATGAAAAGATAGGAAGAAGAAAGAAAGAGAAAGCAAGTGAGAGACAGAGGCAAAGAAAGAGAAAATATTTCTCTCATTAGGAAGCTGCTGGGATTCCTTTATTTTAAAAATCCTTTAAAATAGTGAGTGAGAGAGAGATTATACTCACATGTACTCAGATTTTCTGACTTTTATACATAAACTCTACAGCCACTATATACAAAATTCAGAAAGATAATTTGTTTTCTTTGCAATCTTTTTTT